TGTGCGGCGCCCCGCTAGTGTGGCCATCCGGGTGTGTGCTGGGTGTCGCGCTGGGTGGCGTGTCCGGCCGTGCGTGTGTGTCCCCGCGAGCGCTGGCCCTCCGGCGGCGTGTCGGGGGGCTGCCTTGCGCCCATCGGAGGGGCCGTGTGCAGGTGTGTGTGCGTGGGTTGTGTGCCCAGGTGCGGGTCCCCCAGCCGGCGTGCGCGGCTGGCCGCGCTGGGTGTTTGTGTCCGGGTTGGATGTCCATCCGAGGGTCTGTGTAGCCGGGTGTGTTCGCTCCGGTGTCCATTTGTGTGTGTGTGTGTGTGTGTGTGTGTGTCTGCGGGTTGTGTGTCTCCGAGGGTGTGTGTCTGTGAGTCCACGTCAGGTTTCCTGCCGGGGGCTGAGGCTCGGTGCCTTGTGGGTCCAGGCCTCTGTGTGGGTTTGGGGGAGGGGAGTTTGCCGCTCCCTCGGTCCATGTCAACTGGGGGGGTCCTCAACGGTCCTTGGGGGAGACGGCCATGTCTTCCCCTTCCCGGTGGCTGGGGGGGATGGGCTGCCGGGAGGTGGACAGATGGAGGGATGAGAGGCCGAAGGATGGACAGATGGGCTCTGGGGTGGGGGGGTAAAGACCTGGCCCTTCCCCATCCACCCCACCCTATCTCCCCCACTGGCCAGATATCTGCAGATGGGGCCAGAGTTGTCTGCATCCCGGTGGCCAGGCTGGGGGACCTCCGGGGTGCTGCTGAGGAGATCTCCTTGGAATGGTGCTTTGGGACTCAACCCCCAATCCTTTGAGATTCCACCTGCTGAACTCTGACCTCTGGCCCCAGGCTTGTGCCGGGGTTTGAGGAGGGGCGGTGCAGAGTGTGCTGGGAGGGATGTTAGCATTTCTTTGGTCTGGGAAGTAGGTGGGGTGAGGGTGCCTCAGGGCTGGAAGGAATGTGTGTCCATGACTGTGAGTGTGAATCTGGGCCTGTGGGTTGTCTGTGCTACTGTGGTTCAATATTTTCTATGCATTTGTAAGTGTGTAAATCCCTCACGGGACTGTTGTATGAATATGTGTCTGTTGTGAGTGAACATCTAGGAGTGCCTGAGAAGGTGGATCTTTTTTGTGCCTGTGTTTGCTTGTTCCAGGATCTCCCAGCCTTGCAAGTGTCTGTGTACACTTGTAGTTCAGAGTACATGTGTGAGGTGTGTACCAGCTAGTGTATGCATGTGTGTTGGTCGGTGTGGGAAGAGATCAGCTTCATGACTGTGCATCGTGAGGATGTGGAGTCGTGAGTGTGTTTGGGCATTTCAGAATGTGCATCTATGAACTGCTGATTGTGCAGGTGTGTATGTTTTGGGGGTGCCCCTGTGTGTTGGTGAGAGTGCAAGGTGTTAGGTGCAGGTACCGGGTTGGCTGTTAGGGGGCATGTGGGTTTCTCTGTTGTGTCTGTGCATCTGTGAGTGTGTGAAGGAAGGTCAGTTTGTTTGTGTGATGTTGGATGCAGGTGTGTCCCTCTGTGTTGAGAGTCCATTCGTGCTTCAGTGTTGGTCTCTGGGGAGAGGGGTTATATACGTTCAAACCTAAGTACAGGATGCAAGTGCTGTGTCCCTAGCACAAGGCTGACCTCACTTCTGGGTTCACCGGGATTGAGGCCCATTGGCATGACCTATAGGATGTCCGGGTCCAGCCTGCAGTCCCTGGACACAGTGTGTCCATATTGTTGGTCAGGAGCCATGGGAGGCAGGGAGCGCCCAGAACATGCTGGTGTGTCCATGGAGATCCAGATGTAGCACCTTGGGCATGGGCCTGTGTGGGTTTGGACAGGTCCACACAGGTTGGTTGGGAAACAGGTGATGGTAAAGATGGGAACCACTGGCCCATCCCCTCTCCAGCTCCTGGTACCTACTTAGGTCTTTAAAGTTGGGGAACTGGGATGTAAACCCTTGAGTCCTAAAGGAGGAAGCGTCTGATCTGAACTCTTGGGAGCCTGGGAACTTAGAGTCCTGGGTCTGAGAGAGAAGGGAGAAAATCCCAGACTCCAGGATCTTAAGGGAAGAGGCGGGTGGGGAGTTGGTGGCCAACATCCTGGACTCCTGGGTTTTGGAGAATCAACAGTCTTGAGGCTCAGTCTCTTAGGTCTTCAGAGATAACTTCTGGGGCCTTTGAGACACTGGAGAACTGCTGCAGAAGGGCTGAGAGACTGATACCCCCAGGGATTTCATTTGCTCAGATGATCCCCCAAGGCCTGCCCTGGTGCCTAGGAAGGAGCTGCAGGATGCTAACAGGGTGGTTTTATTCCTTTGCAGGTACTGGCCCAGGCCCTGACTTGCTGAAGAGAGGTGAGTAGAGCCCTTGAGCCGGGGAGAGAGATGTGGGGTGATGAGGCTTGTCCAACCTGCTAGAGTCCAGAGCCCTGCCCAACAGGAATCCCGGCACAGGGTGCAGCAGTGTCCAGAGGGGCCAGAGTCCTGCCTACTCCAGCCCCAGGCTGAGAAGTGGTGGCCAGCCCAGGAGCATTATGTCTGGCTCATGGCATTCAGGAGGCTCTGAGACAGGGGTGGGTCTCAGGCCAGGAGGCATCCCCTCACAGGATGGATAAAAGGTGGTCAGGAAAGAGGTTCCCTCAGGATATCAAAATGGGTACAAGAGGGTTTCAGGAAACAAAATGAGTAATGGCTTGGATGTAGATGTGGATATGAGATGTGTTTGGACGTGTGTGTAGAAGACCTGCTATTTTGACCTGCTGGGTAGCTGAGAGAAAGTAAGAGAAAATAATAAATTAATAATAGTAATAATAATAACAGCAGCCGCTCACATTTATGTAGGGTTTCCTTGTCGGGAACTAGAAACATTATAAAATACAATCTCACTGAATCCTCACAACAGTACTGGGAGGTAGGTCCCATTGTTATCCCTTTTTACAGATGAGCACACTGAGGCATAGAGGAGGAGTCACCTGATTAAAGTCACGCAGCGGGAACTTGGGGTGGGAACCCAGGCAGTGGGGTCCAGGTCCTGTCCTGCAGTACTGCAGGGCCGCTCAATAAATGCTGTTGTCATTGCTCCTGTGGGTCCTTTGGGTCCCTCTCTGGCTGAGGGAGTGTACAGTTTTGACAAAACTCTGTGCTTGTTGCAAAGCTTGGGCTCTGAGCGCTGGTGACCTCACAGCCAAGCAGGGGCTGAACTGGGCTCCTGTCCTTGGAACCCCACTTTCCAGGCCAGGGATTTCAGTCAATCCAGAACAGTGTCCTAGAGGAAGAGGAGGACACTTGGGGGTGGGTGCTCAGAGGTGGTGGGGTGCCGGACGGGGTCTCATTTTCACTCTTCAGCCCAGTCACCATCGCCCCCCATCTCCGACTCCTCTTTCTCTGTTTTTGTCCAAGGCCTTTTTATTCTACTTATCTCCCTTCCGCTTTCTCTCTCCCTTTCTCTCAGGCCCTCTGCCCCCTGTCTTTCCACTCTCAGTTTTTCTGTCTTTCTGCTTCAGTGTCACCCCATCTTTTCACATTGATTGATGGATCTTTTGAGGTGCTTGGGGAGGAGCCAGGGCCCGGAGCATGCAGGGCGGGGTCTACCACGAGCCACGCCCCCTGCACCTTCATCTTCTTTTGAGACTTTTCCTGTTTTTCTGCCTCTTTCTCCAAGTCTGTTCCTGCCAGTCCATCCCTGTCCCCCGTCGTCCCTCCCTGCCTCTCTACACCTCTCTGACTTCTTGGTCCCAGTTCTCCTCCCACAGGCGGAAAGATCAAGACTCACATGGCCACTGCTCCCAGGCAGATTCTGGGAAGAGGGCCAGCAGGGGTTAGGGTACAAGGCAGGGTGGGATGAAAGCAGTTTCTGGGACGGCCCCTTCCCATCCTTTCCTCTGCACCCCCCCACCCACCCAGTGTTGTGATGGGAAATGACATGTCGTGGGCTGTAGCCGCCGCAGGGGGAATCCCTGCCGGAAGGTTTTGCCTGGAGCAGAGGCATAGCATGAGTGTTTGTGTGTGTGTGTGTGTGTGTGTGTGTGTGTAGGCATGCATGGGGCCTTATATGTACCTACTGATGTGAGCACCAAAGCTGGCCCTGCTTGGGAACTCAGCTAAGCCTAAGACAAAGCCAGACTCATAGAGGGACTTCCTGAGGCTAAGCTGGGAGACTGATGTCTTTTCCTCAGCCCCTCCTACTTGCACATTCTCTCTGCCCCTCCCTGCAAAAGTGTGTGTGTGGGGGAGACCTTAATGTTTATTGAGTGTTTACTGTATGTCAGGGTTTGTGTTCAGTCATTCCTATGCGTGGTGACCATCATTTATGAATCAAGAAATTACAGTGGGGAAATAGGGGAGTCACTGGTGTGGGGTCATAGAGCTAGCCACAGGGGAAACCAGGATTTGCACTTGAATCTGTTTGATTTTATTATACTTGCTTTTAATAATAGCACACAGTTCTGTGCCTGGTACACATTAAGCACTCAATGATGATGATGGCGGTCACTGCTAGCATGTATTGATCCCACTTTACATGCCAAGCACTGTTCTAAGTCTGCCCTATTTGTTAACCCAAATGATACTCAAAAAAATAAGACTTATTTCTATCTCCATTTTACAGATGAAGAAACCGAGATTCAGAAAGGTTCAGACACTTGCCCGAGGTCATACAGCTAGTAAGTATTACAGCAGGGATTTGAGCTCAGAGAGTCCGGCTTTGATATTCCTGGCCTTAAACTACAGTCAATAGTTATTTCAAAAATATTTGTTGGGTATGGAAGGTACCAGGCTGGGTCAGGTGTCTGATCAGGAGGTCATAAAAGGTCTGGGAGCACCTAGAGGAGGGACAGGGGTTGGGTGGGACACTCAAGGGAGGAGCAGTGGGAATTTGCCGACCAGCGTGAAATATTGTAATTTGTTAATAGGAAATGCATGGCGGCAGATGGTGAGTCCTGTCGCTGTCCTATAGAATACAGTGAAGTGGCGGGGAGGAAACCGGGCCTGACTCTTAGCAGGACGTCCCAGGAGCCCTGAGCGTGGGTAACGGTATCTTTCCCTGCAGGTCTCACCTCCCGCACCTCCCGCTTTTTCATTGCGCCATGGCTCCAGGTCCCTTTTCCTCGGCGCTCCTCTCGCCGCCACCTGCTGCCCTGTCCTTTCTGCTGCTGCTCTGGGCGGGGGCATCTCGAGGCCAGCCCTGCCCTGGCCGCTGCATCTGTCAGAACGTGGCGCCCACGCTGACCATGCTGTGCGCCAAGACGGGCTTGCTCTTCGTGCCACCCGCCATCGACCGTCGCGTGGTGGAGCTGCGGCTCACCGACAACTTCATTGCCGCTGTCCGCCGCCGAGACTTTGCCAACATGACCAGCCTGGTGCACCTCACCCTCTCCCGGAACACCATCGGCCAGGTGGCGGCCGGCGCCTTTGCCGACCTCCGTGCCCTCCGCGCCCTGCACCTCGACAGCAATCGCCTGGCGGAGGTGCGCGGCGACCAGCTGCGGGGCCTGGGCAACCTCCGCCACCTGATCCTTGGCAACAACCAGATCCGCAGGGTGGAGTCGGCTGCCTTCGACGCCTTCCTGTCCACGGTGGAGGACCTGGATCTGTCCTACAACAACCTGGAGGCCTTGCCCTGGGAGGCGGTGGGCCAGATGGTGAACCTGAACACCCTCACCCTGGACCACAATCTCATCGACCACATCGCCGAGGGGACCTTTGTGCAGCTGCATAAACTGGTGCGCCTGGACATGACCTCTAATCGCCTCCATAAACTTCCCCCGGATGGGCTCTTCCTAAGGTCCCAAGGCAGCGGTCCCAAGCCCCCCACGCCGCTGACTGTCAGCTTCGGCGGGAACCCGCTCCACTGCAACTGTGAGCTGCTCTGGCTGCGGCGGCTGACCCGGGAGGACGACCTGGAGACCTGCGCCACCCCCGAGCACCTCACTGACCGCTACTTCTGGTCCATCCCAGAGGAGGAGTTTCTGTGTGAACCTCCGCTGATCACACGGCAGGCTGGGGGCCGCGCCCTGGTGGTGGAGGGCCAGGCTGTCAGCTTGCGCTGCCGGGCTGTGGGGGACCCTGAGCCTGTGGTGCATTGGGTGGCGCCAGATGGGCGTCTGCTGGGGAACTCCAGCCGGACCCGGGTCCGTGGGGACGGGACGCTGGATGTGACCATCACCACTTTGAGGGACAGTGGCACCTTCACTTGCATCGCTTCCAATGCTGCGGGGGAAGCCACCGCGCCTGTGGAGGTGTGCGTGGTACCTCTGCCGCTCATGGCGCCCCCGCCCGCTGCCCCGCCGCCTCTCACCGAGCCTGGCTCCTCTGACATCGCCACGCCTGGCCGACCTGGTGCCAACGATTCAGCTGCTGAGCGACGGCTTGTGGCAGCCGAACTCACCTCAAGCTCCGTGCTCATCCGCTGGCCCGCCCAGAGGCCCGTGCCTGGCATCCGCATGTACCAGGTCCAGTACAACAGCTCCGTGGATGACTCCCTCGTCTACAGGTGGGTGTGTGTGCTGCGACCCCCATCTCCTCCCAGCCCAGGGTCCCTTCTTCCCACCAGCCGATTCCCTTGGCCTTCTTGCTTAGCTGGGGTTCTGGATGGCCTTGCAGGGTCATCTCAGTCCCCATCTCCTCTCTCTACTCTCCTTCCTCCTGTCTGTCTTTGTTTTCTTTTCATTTAGCAAATATTTGTTGAGCACCTACATGAGCAAGACTAGGGCTGGGCACTGGACTCATAAGAGTGAAGGAGCTCACTGTGATCCCTCTGTCACCTGATGCATGATCAATGTCACTGCTCACCAAAGGTGTCTGATTGTGCACCTCATCAGTTACACATTTGGGAGCACCAAACACACACACAGACACACACACACACACACACACACAAATATATATATTTAGATTCCTATTCATAAATTATAAACAGAGTTATAGAATTATAAGTACTATACCAACACATTGGGTACATCATACAGAAAAAATGGACTTTTATTCTATTTATTTATATGTGGTGCTGAGAATCGAACCCAGTATCTTACACATTCTAGGCAACGCTCTACCACTGAACTACAACCCCAGCCTAGAAAACAAAATGCATGACAAAAATATAAGTTATTTCCACCCTCCCGTGGGTTGGAAGTCACTGTCCTGGTGTGATGGCGTGGACAGACAAAGGAGTTACTTCCTCCCATTGTCTCCTACTTCCCTGCTTGCATCTCTCCATCTGCTCTACCTTCTCTCTCTCCTCATGAAGGCACTTAGACTTTGCTCTGTGCTAGGCCCTGAACTGGGTGTTGGGGACCCAAGGAGACCAAGAGATCCAGTCCTTGCCTTCAGGGCCCTACATGCACCACAAATCACTGTCATGGCCCCACAGTGTCTCTCCATCGTGGTAGTTTTCAGTATGACTCTTGGCTACAGATGGGCACACAGTGGGCATTTCATGAACAGCCGTTGGCTTCACAGATGCTTCTCCCTCGTGCACACTGCAGAGGGGCTGCTGAGTGCCTGCCTCGCGCTTAACTGTACTTGTGGATGCCAAAGTGGCCAGAGCCATTCCCTACTGTGGGTAGCTCTGGCTGTTGGGAATGCGGAAACCTTCTCAGAAAGGCCTGGCTTTTGCTCCCCATCCTCGGCTGGCTCCCTGGGCCACGGTCTTGGCATGGAGCAGGCCCATTCCCACTGCTGGCTGCATGCATACATGCCTCTCTTTCCCCTTGTCTGTTTTCCTCATTTTTGTCTTCTTAATTCTGGTCACCAAACACTGAGTAAATGCCTACTGTGTGTCAGACCCTGTGCTGGTCCCAGGGCCCACTGAGATAGACTGGCCCAGTGTCCCAAGAGTAGACAATGAATGAGACAAAGAGCTTCATAAGACACCTCCAGAGCCGGCAGCTGACTCCTAGCTCTGTTGCAAAGCAGGCGGCATCCCCCTGCTGATTTGATTTGCTGATTTTTTTGTGGTGCTGAGGATTGTGATGCCTGGTGGCCTGTGTATTAGGCAAGTGCTCTGCCATGCCTCCCCTGACCTCTCCTCATTTTATAACAGAGAAACTGAGGCTCAGTGGAGAAAGGCACTTCCTCTTGGTCACACAGGAATAGCAGAGCTGTCCTTTTTATGCAGACACACACTTACTGAACACCTACTGTTTGCCAGGCAGGGTGGAGGGGAGGTGGATAATACATTTCTGTAAATGACTCAGTTTTTGTGAGTCTCCACCTGTTTCTTTGCTTCTTTTTGACCCATGGCTACCATCTGGCAGGATGGGGGAAGGTTCAAGGCCCCAAACCTTGAATATATACTGATGTTGATGGTCCCCTGTCCTCAGCTGGGGACTTTTCCCTTCTCCTCAGGGCCTCAGTTTCTGTTCTTCATTCAGGAACTCCATTGCAGATGCCTGCACTGTGGCACTGCAGGGGTTAACTTCCTCGCTGCTGCCATGGGCGGAGGTGACATCCAACCAGAAGCCTGCTCAGCTGCTTGCTCTGGTCTTGCAGCCAATTAGAGACACATGGGCCCAAGCTTCCTTAAGGAGCCCGCCTCTGTCCTTGAAAAGGGGGGAGCCCCTAGCAACTGGATATTTAGGGGAAGAAGCAAGAGGAATCCAAGGCTCAAAGACAGGAGATGAGGAGGGACAAGGGAGACTTAAAGCCAGAGGCCAAGGGTGTTGGCTGGGCTGGCAGTGGTCTGCAAAAAGTGGGAGAGATGGCCCTTTTGGGGGTGTGGCCATACTTGAAGTCTTTGGGTGGGAGGGTGGCTCATGGTGCTGGGCCCTGGGAGGCAGGATGACTGGGGGTGGGGCTTCAGGATCAGAAGATGGCCCTGCTGGAGGGGAAGAGGGCCTTGGAGAGGTATGCAGCCCCTGGAGATGGGCAGGGCCTTTCAGCAGTGTTGCAGCTGTTTCGCATGGTCCCAGGTGGAGGAAGGTGTGGTTCCAGTCCCTGGTGAGCCACTCAGGCCTTGTAGGAGAGAAGAGCTTGTGAGGCTGGGTGTTGGGTGTGCAAATTGGTGTGGACTGGCAGTCCTGGGTTAGCTGAGGCTGGATGCGGCCAACAGGGTGGAAGGGATGTGCTCAATAGAAGGGGACCAAGGCCTAGAGGAATGTCCTCCAGAGGGGAGAGTCTTACAGCCAAGGAGGAGTGCAACTCGAGGTAGAGTGGGAACCCCAGCAAGGGTTTCTGGCCACTTTAGGTGGGACATTAAGCTAATGGTGTTATTAAGAGCCAGACTTTGGATGTGTGAACTCATTCACTCCCCACACCATCTCTATGATGTGGGGTGTCCTATTATTTCTGTTAGGGAAAATGGTGCCCAGAGGTTAAGAAACTTACCTGAGGTGACAGAGCTGGTAAGGGGCAGAGGAGATATCAAAACCAGGCAGTCTGGCTCCCAGGTTTGGTTGGCTTTTAGCCACTTCTCTATACTCCTCCTCTTTTGAGGGGAGGGACCTGTTGCAGGAAAGGAGCATGTGAGCTTGGCTACATCTGACCCAATTAAAGATGAATGTTTGGAAGCATGATATGGTGACTTCTGGTGGCAGAGTTAGGCATGCACATAAGGGGTGGCTGCCTCTACTACCTGGACAAAGAGCAGGGCCTGCAAAGGGTGGTCCGAAGCACCGGAGGGAAGCATCCCTAGTTGGCCTTGTGGGGTGCGGCTTGGAAGCCATGTTTCAGTCAGAAGCAGAGTAGCTTGTAGCAGTGGCCCCTTAATGAGCTGGAATGTCTACTTGAGCGCTTGGAAATTGTGCCAGAAGTAAATGTTTTACCCGGAAGCTATGTTTTACCCAAAGGTGGGGCATACAGATGAGGGAGTGTGACCTGCATCATGGTTTCCCCTGAAAGGCAGGAATATGTATAAAAGAGGAACTAGGAAATCATCGTTTGTCCCAGTGGGAATAAGGGTTTCTGAGTTGTTGAACTGGGTATCCACTGATGTGGGGGTGGGGCATATAGATAAGGGAGTGTGGCCCGTAGCACCAGTCCCATATATGCTAGATATATGCAGATGAGGGAGTTTGAATGGTAGTTGACTTGGTAGGAGTGAGACGCTCTGAGGGAGCATGTCCCATGAGAGCAGGGAATGTAAGATGAAGCGCTCTTTCCATGCGGGAACCAGGATGTAGTCATCCAATTAAATGGCTGATAGCATCTCAGAGAGCCAGGTGTGTCTGAGGTCGAGGCATGCAGATGAGAGTGTGGTATCCGTGGTCGTAAGCCTGGGTATATAGGCTGATGCAGGATGGCTGCTGCTGCCTGAGTTGGGGGTGAGACACAGGAAGTATGGTTCAGTCCGCACTGTTCACCAGGGGTGAGGAATAAAGTGAAAGGATGCGGTTCAAGACTAGGGCTAACTCCGCCCTGATCCTGCCCCCTCCTGCAGGATGATCCCGTCCACCAGTCAGACCTTCTTGGTGAATGATCTGGCGGCAGGTCGCGCCTACGACTTGTGCGTGCTGGCAGTCTACGACGACGGGGCCACGGCTCTGCCAGCCACGAGAGTGGTGGGCTGCGTGCAGTTCACTACGGCTGGGGATCCTGCACCTTGCCGCCCGCTGAGGGCCCATTTCTTGGGCGGCACCATGATCATCGCCATCGGGGGTGTCATCGTCGCCTCGGTCCTCGTTTTCATCGTTCTGCTCATGATTCGCTACAAGGTGTATGGTGATGGGGATGGCCGCCGGGTCAAGGGCACCTCCAGGTCGCCCCCACGGGTCAGCCACGTGTGCTCGCAGACCAACGGCGCAGGCGCGCAGCAGGCCCCACCGCCGCCTGCGCAGGACCGCTACGAGGCTCTGCGCGAGGTGGCCACCCCAGCCGTCGCCGTTGAGGCCAAGGTTTCCGCGGTGGAGGCGGCTTCTGCGGAGCCGGAGGCGGTCCTAGGACGCTCGCTGGGCGGCTCGGCCACCTCTCTGTGCCTGCTGCCCTCCGAGGAAACTTCTGGGGAGGAATGTCGGGCCGCGGCAGGCCCTCGGAGGAGCCGTTCAGGGGCCCTGGGGCCGCCAGCTTCAGCGCCCCCGACTCTAGCTCTGGTTCCTGGGGGCGCCCCGGCTCGGCCGAGGCCACAGCAGCGTTATTCCTTCGACGGGGACTACGGGGCGCTCTTTCAGAGCCACAGTTACCCGCGCCGCGCCCGGCGGACAAAGCGCCACCGGTCCACGCCGCACCTGGACGGGGCCGGAGGGGGCGCGGCCGGGGAGGATGGAGACCTGGGGCTGGGCTCCGCCAGGGCGCGCCTGGCCTTTACCAGCACCGAGTGGATGCTGGAGAGTACCGTGTGAGCGGCGGGCGGGCGCCGGGACGCCTGGGGCCGAGAACCAACGCCCAGCCGCCCGGACGCCGGGGCGGGACTCGGGGAGAACGCGCAGCGCCGGGCCGTCGGAGTGGAGGGGAGACCCGGCTTCTCCTCCGCCAGGGGCGGGGCGGCCTCCGACCGCGCTGGAGGCCACGCCCCCGCGCCAGGGGCTGGGGGCGGGCCCGGCCTCCCCTTCAGGCCCCGCCCCTCTGCCCCTCCCCCCGCGCGCTCGCGGACCTCGCTGGAGCCGGTGCCTTACACAGCGAAGCGCGGGGAGGGGCAGGCCCCCCCACACTGCAGCACTGAGACACGAGCCCCCTCCCCCAGCCCAGGACCCGGGGCAGGGGCGAGGGGCCCATTTCTTGTATCTGGCTGGACTAGATCCTATTCTGTCCCGCGGCGGCCTCCAAAGCCCCCCCACCCCACCCCACTTACTCCCTGGTCCCGTCGGGTCTGGCTTGGGGTCTTCCTTTCTCTCTCCGCTCGTCTGTCTCTGTCCTTCCTCTGTCGTCTCTGTCCTTCCCTACTTGTCTCTCCTTTCTCTGTCCCCGCGTCGTGTCTCTTCTTCCTCTGTCCTTGTTTTGTCCAGTCTCCCGACTCCCGATTTCCTTTCCCCACCACCCATTCTCCCGGGCAGGTCCCACTGGAAGGACCAGACTCTCCCCAGCCTCCCTTGTTCCCCCAGTAAATCCCCACACGAACAAAATTCAAAACCAAATCCCCCTCCCTACCGGAGCCGGGACCCTCCGCCGCAGCAGAATTAAACTTTTTTCTGTGTCTGAGGCCGCTCTGCTGACCAGTGTGTGTCATGTGCCTTGGGGGGGATGACCTAGATAGCTGCATAAGGACTCCTAAGTCAGACTGAAAGAAGATGACTAACGGCCAGAGGACTGGCAGACAGCTTCCTATCTTTTGAGAGACTTGGGGGGGGGGATAATCACACAAGCAAATTGGTAATAGAAGCCGACACATAGGGAGATGTCCGTTATGGGCTAAGCACTTAAGTCATCTAATCCTCACAACCAGCTTTGGACATCAGTATAGTATTGCCATTCCATTTTACAGGTGAAAAATTGAGGTCCAGAAAGTTAACCTGCCCATGGTGACAGAAGCAGAAGGTGGCAAAATTGGCATTTTAAAAGGCTGGTGGAGTGGAAGCTGGGGACACACTTGTGTTCCCAGCTACTTGGGAGGTTGAGACAGAGGATCATGGGAACCTGGGAGTTTAGGCCAGCCTAACTCCATCTCAACACTAAAAGGCAGGTGGCCTGCCTTCTGGGTCGGGTCATTGAATTTTTGACTCTCTGAGCCCCTACAACTGTGTGAGGTGGGAGGCCTTTGTTTTTATTTTATTTTTTAGTACTGGGAATTGAACCCAGGAGTGCTTTACCACTGAGCTACATCCCCAGTCCATTTATCTATTTATTCATGCATACATACATACATACCAGGGATTGAACCCAGGGGCTCTTACCACTGAGCCACATCCCTAGCCCTTTTTTTTTTTTTTTTTTTATTTAGAGACAGATTCTCACTGAATTGTTTAGGTCCTTGCTAATTTGCTAAGGCTGGCCTTGATCCTTCTGCCTCAGCCTCCCAAGCTGCTGGGATTACAGGCATGCACCACTGCTCTGGGCTTTATTTTTTATTTTGAGTGGCCTTCTCGCTAAGTTGCTGGCCTCAAACTTGTGATCCTCCTGCTTCAGCCTCCTGATGGGATTACAGCAGTGCACCACTGCACCTGGGCCCTTGTTTCATTTTACAAAAAGGATTTTGAGCCAGAGAGAGGTAAAATCATTTGCCCAAGGGCCCCTCCCCTGCCTCCCCACCCCCATGAATATATAGTGGAGCTGGCAGGTTGCCTCTGGTGGCTATGTGTGGAGGCCAGGAAATGGCCCTAATGACTTCAGCTGAACTTAGCTATCTAAAGCCAGTATAGTGATGGGGTGGGCAGGGCCTAGGTAAGTCACTGATTTGGAATCTGAGGGGTCCTAGGTGGACGGGGTCAGCTGGGAATGTGGAGGTGATGTGGGAGGGGGCTGTCTTAGGTGAGGCTGAGGGCTGGGCTGGGGAGGGAAGGCTGGTTAGGGGCTCTGGGGCACCCTAGCCCTTGCAGGGACCCTGCAGTGAAAACTCCTTCCTCATCTTGGGGAAGCAGGAAGAAGGCTTCAAGCCAGTGAGGGGCCCCCTGAGGCCTGGGGAGGAGGAGAGAAAGACAGAAATAGAAACAGAGCAGGAGGGAGGAGGATGAATCTGGGCAGACAGGGTGGGAGGCAGCAAGGACAGAGGCACGTCAGGCACAGGCCAAGAGGCTCCCTCACTCAGGGGCCCGGCCACACTCACTCACAGCAGTCAGGACGACGCCAGGTACGAGTGCTTCCCACCAGCCAGGCACCCAGCTCCCAACCCTCCTGGTGCAACAATAAAGAGTGTGGATCCCAGTGCACCATACGTGGCGCTCAAGAGGTGGAGTTACTCTGATAATAAGCAAGATCACATTGAAAGCCTGCATCTGATGCGTGCATTGTGGGCCTGTAAGATGGGCCGTGTTGCAATCAGTTTTCTAGATGAGGAAACTGAAGGTCAGGCAGGTTAAGGAGCTTCCCCAAGATCACAGCTGGTAAGAGCAGAGCAATGATGGGTCAGCTGATCACCTCCAAATCCCGCAACCTAACCATCAGACTTATATTGTCTTCATTTCACTTAATAGAACTCTATTGAGCATGTGCTGCATGACTGACCCATTGCAGGGGCTATAGCAGCAAACAAAATAGAGAAAACACAATAAGAAAACCCTGGCTTATGGAGCTTTTATTCTAGAGGGGAGGAGAACATAAATAAGGAAGTATATAGCACATGAGGATAAATAAGTGCCATGCAAAGAATGCAGACAGGATGATGGCACAGGGTATGACCATGAGACCCATTTAAGGTTGGGGGAGGAGTAAATGTGGGTGGCATTAAAGCTGAAGAAATACATTGTGGGGGAAAGCACTCCTGGCAAAGGGAAGAGCGTGTGCAAAGGCCCTGAGGTAGAAGTATGCTTGGTGTATTGAAGGTGACTTGTCTGGATTGGAATGAGGGGAAGAATGAGATGGGAGAAGCAAGCACAGAGCATGTTCTGCAGAACCTTATAGGCTGTGATTAAGAAGTGAATGTTGCTGGGAGAGGTGGTGCACAACTGTAATCCCAGCAACTCAGAGGCTGAGGCAGAAGGATTGTCAGTTCAAAGCCAGCCTCAGCAACTTAGCAAGGCTCTATCAAAATGAAAAATAAAAAAAGGGCTGGAGATGTGGCCCAGTGGTTAAGCACCCCTGGGTTCAATTCTCAACAATAACAACAACAACTACTACTATTACTAATAATAAGAATAAAGAAAAGATGTGGCAGTTTGTTTCAGAGCTGTGGAAAGCCTGTGGGGGGCTTTCTGCATGAGTTTGTGGTTTGATTTCCATGGAGACCCCAGCTCTGGGGTGGGATGTGTCTGTCTTCAAAACAAAGTAAAGAACTGCCATCTCAGAACTTGGAATTCACTCATCAACATGTTTGGGGCCCACCTGGTCCTGTCCTGCCCTGTGTATGGCACCCTGCCCACCTTCCTTTAGAGCCCTGAGCCCTTCATTTAATAGGAAATAGTTCTCAAGGTCAATGTCATGCTTGTTTTTCAAAATTGAAAGCTTTAAACCCAGAGAATGGGCACTCTAGTGAGAGAGGGCATATAGTCACCAATGGGTGACATTTGGGCACTGTGCATGGCCCTGTGCTGGGCACTGGAGATGGTGGTGACTCGTGTCCATGGTGACTCAGACAGGCAGATGGCTGTGGATCTGGGCTGCGAGGGGAGCTCAGCGGAGCTGCCCAATGAACCCTGAAGGATCAGGGCAAGTGTTAGGGCCTTTTGGTGGCAAGGGACAGAAATTCAGCTCAACTGGATTAGGCACGAAAAGGTGACTTTTGTTTTGGTTCATGTAGCTGGGAAAGAAACAGCATTAAGGGTAAGTCTACAAGAAGCAGGACTCAGGGACAGGAACACCCCTGAGCCAAGCTTCCTTCCTTCTCAGCTCTGTTCAGCTGCATGTGCGGGGGAACATGGTCATTTACGCACAGACTCGGCCTGTCCGGAGCCCAGAGGTCAAATGGCAGATGCTCTGGTCCTAAGAGAAAAATCCCAGGGAAGGACTCTGATTGGCTCAAATGAGGTCATCTGCCCTCCCCACCCCCACTGATTGTGGCATCAAAGGGAATAGAATGCTTTGATTGGCCAAGTGGGGGGCATGTGCCAGGTTGTGTGGCTTGGGGGAGGGGGGTTGCTAATATTAGGTTAACCAACATGAACTTGCCCTTTTTTCATATTAAGAAGGGTACAGTAGCCAGGCACACGCCTGTAATCCCAGTGGCTCGGGAGGTTGAGGCAGGAGGATTGCAAGCTCAAATCAGCCTCAACAAAAGTGAGGCGTTAAGCAGCTCAGTGAGACCCTGTCTCTAAATAAAATACAAAATAGGGCTGGGGTGTGGCTCAGTGGTCGAGTGCCCCTGGGTTCAAACCCTAGTAGCACACCCCCTCCCCCCAAGAAAGAGAAGGGTAGAGTTTGGCAATTTCATGTGTTTGAACCCAAATAGTCACCAAGTTGAGAAAGTCTGTGGGGCGTATACAAGGAAAAGAAATCCCTTTGCTCCTTTAGGAGGGGGTGGGAAGAGGGGGAGCTGATATTTGGTAAGACATGGGGTGGCTGGAAAGAGACTCAGAGACCCCCCTTGGTGGCAGGGGAGGGACGGGAATGCCCTGAGCAGGGAGCAGAGCCCAAGCCAAGGCCGTCATGGGAGAGGACAGGGAAGGTTGTCGCCGGGCCCTGGGGATGGCATGCTCCGACTGATCACACTGAGCCAGGCGTCCTTCATTTGGTGGGCACACTGGGGAGCTGTTTCCAGGAGGAATGGATGATGGACAGGCAGAACCCAAATATATCCAGTTCAAAGCCTCTTCTCTAAGGTCTGCCATCTCCAGAGATTTACATATTGATTTTATTCCATAGAAATACCCAAGATTTTTTTTGGGGGGGGGTACTGACAGATTGAACTCAGAGGCATTTGACCACTGAGCCACATCCCCAGCCCTATTTTGTATTTTATTTAGTGACAGGGTCTCACTGAGTTGCTCAGGGTCTCACAAGTTGCTTTGAACTTGTGATCCTCCTGTCTCAGCCTCCCGAGCCCACCCCTTCATATCCCACCCCTAGCTGCAATAATTGAAGAGTCATATGCTTGAATTCAGAAGTGTCCTATATGATTGAATTTTTTAAATTAAATACGATGGTCACTTCTGTTTCATGCTGGCTATACAGAGGTGTTTTGGGGGCTACGTCTGGCTGCAAGAAACAGAAACCAAATGAACATGACTGAAGCATAAAGATGTTCAGTCATGTGATCAAATGTAAGGCTGGGGTTTGGTGCAATGGCTTGCTTATTTATTTATTTATTTATTTGGTACCAGGGATTGAACCCAGGGGTGCTTAACCACTGAGCCCCAGCCCCAGCCTTTTTTAAAAATTTTATTCAGAGACAAGAGTCTCGCTAAATTGCTTAGGGCCTCAGTAAATTGCTGAGGCTGAATTTGAACTTGAGATCCTCCTGCCTCAGTCTCCTGAGCCACTGGGATTACAGGCCTGTGCCGGTGCCCAGTGCAATGGCTATTGATATCAGCAAAACTCAAGTTACTAATCTTTTGTTCTGCCTTCTTCAGAATGATAGCTTCATATCCCAAGCTTGCTTGTTTATTGTCTTAAAAA